TTGGGTCGGGTCAAAGTGGATTCGGATTCTTCGTAGTAAGACGAAGAAATTGATATATTGTACGCTCAAAACGGATAATGGCCGGGTGAATGAGATATTGATTCTCAAAGTAGACCCATTTGAGTTGGGAAATGAAGGGAACAAAGTGAGCTTTGTCCCACATTGGTTTGGAAAGTGGATTTGCCCGCCTTATATACAAGAGCTCTTTTGAAGCTTGTAGAATTGTATAGCATAGAGGCTCTCTAGCGCAGGTGGGGGGTGGGGGGGGGGGGGGGGGGCGTGCAAATCAAATTCCAACTAGAAGAGATCGAAAAGGCTTGATTCAAGCCCGAGCTCGCGTGCGCCGGCACCTGCACGCACGAATGTCGTCCGCCTTGCGGGCTAAGTTATGCCAAAACCGAGAGCACAACTCACGTGCATCTGTGACCACGAGAGGTGCACTCTCGGGTTGCACCACAGCACGCACATTAGCTGGCCCTGCGGGCTAAGTTATGCCAAAACTGAGAGCACAACTCACGTGCATCTGTGACCACGAGAGGTGCACTCTCGGGTTGCACCATAGCACGCACGAGAGATGTACTCTCGTGTTGCTGGTCCAAGGTCTGAAACCCGAAAGTTCAGCCTGTTGTACAGATTAAACTCGTTACGGAATTAATACTGTTTTAATTCCAATTTTAAATCAGAGTTTAATCCTACTTAGTGGGTGGCTGTTACAGGTGTTATACAATTGGTTTAATACCAATTAAAGGCCATGTTGAATGCTATCCCTTCCAACAGCCCTATATAAAGAGAGGTAGGGCAGAAGCATTTCACACAGTACGAAATCAAAGGAATTCCAGTGCATTTTGCTTCAAAAACTTCTGCTTCTACTCTCTTCTTTCACAAACAGTGTTCTTCCTCTTGCTTTGTTTGCCGGGTTCTTTGTTTAGGTGCTTAAACAAAGAATCGTAGCACATTTTATCCTGGGAAACCTAGGCTACAACGCTCCTAGCACTTATGGGAGGTAGCAAATAAGGTTTTAAGGAAAAGAACTTTGTGTTCGAACTTGTGCTAAACCTATATCCAAACACTCCACATTTTCCTTCACAGTTTTCTGTTTTTCCCTTATAATAATAATTTTTTTGTAGAATTATTATTTTGGGATTTTTCAACCATATTACCCAACGATATATATATATGTATATATATATATATATATATATATATATATATATATATATATATATATATATATATATATATATATATATATATATAAAGGATCAAATGAGGACACTTTCTCACATGAGGTTTGTGGATTAATATTAACCACTGATCTTTGCTTGATGTGTGGCTGATTTTTTTTGTTATAATTTTTTTCCTTTTTAATTAATTTTGCTTGTCAATATGTATTGGGGGTGTTTTAGTCTTTGTATTTTTTATTCCTTTATATATATATATATATATATATATATATAGGATTATATTCTGATACAAACCGTGCTTAAAATACAAACAGTGTGGATTCATTCGGGTCGTTGGTTTTTTAAGTTGGATGTACATGATTTTATTGATTATTTATGGTAGTTTTTAATTATGTATGCGTGTGTTATATTATAAGTTAGCAATCCGTGTGCCCATTGAGGGAATGCATATAATCCGTTCATCTTAGCAAATCTAATGGTTATTTTTTGTCTGCATGTTTGTATTTTAAGGTAGTTTGCATGTGAATGCAACCCTATATATATATATATATATATATATATATATATATATATATATATATATATATTAATCTTTTAGAGTTAATTAAACTTGTATATATGCTCAATTTTATTGTAATGGCTCCCCTCAATAAGTATCATGACTCCTTAATAATTGTTGTGCGCTCTCTTCCATAACTTCTACTCTTTAATGAGGCGGTGTTCTAATAAGTTCATTAACTCTGGGTTAAGTGCACTGTTCGCCCTCATCTCTGCTTGATTCCTGACCGTTACTAATTGATGCGTTAATTGCCTCATTCAGGTTAGACCATGCATGAGCGTTCTGGGTCGAGTCTATACATTGTCCAATTATCCTGTTAATAATGTATAATTTATTGTGATCTTTGATATGGAATAAACACAAGAGAAAAATCAAAGTTTAACTTCAAGTGTAGCTAGATATATATAATATCATAACGGCAACTTGATAATAGAATAGCGACTTAGTTACAGCATGTTTGGTTCACGGAATGAATTTTAGGTAATAGGAATGCTATTGCATAAGGAAGGGAATATGCAAGGAATAGAATATGAATTGTATTCTATTGTTTAGTTCGCGGAAAGAATGGACTTTAGGAATTATATTATAGTGTTTGGTTGGTTTAAGGAATAGAAATGAAATATGTTTTAAAAGACATAAATACCCTTATAAAAATATGTGGTGGTGGTGGTGGTGGTAGTAGTGGCGGTGGTGGTGGCGTTGGTGGTGGCGGTGGTGGTGGCGGTGGCGTTGGTGTTGGTGGCGGTGGCGATATTGGCGGTGGTGGTGGCGGCGGCGGCGGCGGCGGTAGCGGTAGCAGTGGCGGCGGTGATGGCGGTAGCAGTGGCGGCGGCGGTGGTGGTGGCAGTGCTGGAGGTGGTGCTGGCAGTGATGGTGGTGGCGGCGGTAGCGGGGCGGTGGTGGCAGCAGCGGTGGTGGTGGCGGCGGCGACAGTAGCTGTGGCGTTGGCGGTAGTGGGGTGGTGGTGGTTGTGGTAGTGGCGATGGTGGTGGGGCGGTGGTAGTGGTATATAACCATGTATGTAAGGGTACTTTTGGTATTTGTAATATAAAAGCTATTCCCATAAGCATGGGAATAGCTAATACCAAGGCCCCCTAGGAATGGCTATTCCCCTTGCAAAGGGAATAAGTCATTCATAGGAATAGTATTCCCATGACAAAGTGACGAACCAAATAATGGAATAGATCTATTCCAAGGAATGTCATCTATTCCTGACATATTCCATAAACCAAACATGCCATTAGAGATATAGGGTATGACGATATTTGTAGAAATACGACCGTTATAAATAACAAATAAGAGGTACATATTCGAGGGGTAAAGGTTCAGTTTATGTAATTACATATAATATACTCTTATAACTTCTTCTTTTTTTTTTTTTTTTTTACTGTTTTATTTTCCTCTCTGTTTCCTCCAAAATGGAGTGATCATATTAGAAATTAAACTACTAAAAAGTTGGTTTTAAAAAGGAACAATTATGAGGATAAAGTCTGAATTTGATACTTAGAATATTAAGTTGTTACGTTACACCCGCACCATATGCAATGTTCATCTTTACGACTATTATATTGATGAAGTGATACATGACCTGTTAATTAAAGCAATCCTTAGAGCACTTTCAAAGTACAAGCTCTAGCAACGTCCTAGTTGAAGCTTTAGCAATGTGCTCACATCAAGGTACAAATACTTGATCTTTTCCCATCAATAACCTTCCATTTGTTAAGATGAATTTTCGTTTTTAGCTCGTAGCAATCTCCATGAAACGATATATATATATATATATATATATATATATATATATATATATACACTACAAGAAAAATGCACATAGACAACGGTTAATAACCGTTGTCGTAGGGGTATAATTTCTGTTGTTGAAGCCGGTGTTGTTGTAAGTCCCGCGCATAGACAACGGTTTTTTAACCGTTGTCTTTTCTAGAAACAACAACAGTTTTTTAACCGTTGTCTATTAAGTGTTGTTGAAGCCGGTGTTGTTGTAAGTCACGCAAATAGACAACGGTTAATAACCGTTGTCTTTTCTAGAAACAACAACGGTTTTTTAACCGTTGTCTATTAAGTGTTGTTGAAGCCGGTGTTGTTGTATGTCACGCACATAGACAACGGTTAATAACCGTTGTCTTTTCTAGAAACAACAACAGTTTTTTAACCGTTGTCTATTAACTGTTGTTGAAGCCGGTGTTGTTGTATGTCACGCACATAGACAACGGTTAATAACCGTTGTCTTTTTTAGAAACAACAACGGTTTTTTAACCGTTGTCTATTAAGTGTTGTTGAAGCCGGTGTTGTTGTATGTCACGCACATAGACAACGGTTAATAACCGTTGTCTTTTCTAGAAACAACAACGGTTTTTTAACCGTTGTCTATTAAGTGTTGTTGAAACCGGTGTTGTTAAAAGTCACGCACATAGACAACGGTTTTAAACCGTTGTCATTTCTTCCAAAGACAACGGTTTTTGACCCCGTTGTCAATTCAATGTTGTTAAAACCGGTGTTGTTAAAAGTGATGCACATAGACAACAGTTTTTAACTGTTGTCTTTTCTTTAAAAGACAACAGTTATAAACTGTTGTCTATTGTGTGTTGTTGAAATCGCTGTTGCTAAAAGTCACGCCCATAAACTGTCGTCTATTGTAAAATAGACAACAGTTAAAAACCGTTATCTCAACGGTTTTTAACCGTTTTTAACCTGCTTAAATTTTACTCATACAAAAAAAATCAATTTATCCATTCACCATGACAAAGTGTAGTTACATAATTTTGCACAAGCTAATAAGGTTCAAAATAACAAGTCTAAATACTTCCATGACCAATTCTAATTATCATCCAAGTCATAATACTACAAAAAACAATTCCACGAACCAATTCAAGTCTAAATAATCACAACGTTCTAATGATCAAATCATACATAAACACTAGGAAATAAGCACTCCAAATAAACGAAATAAGATAACATACTGTTTGTATCATTAGCTATTCACGAAATTCACCATCATCTTCCACCATGCGTCTAAGTAATGGAGGCTTCCCTTCATCGTCATCCCTTAGGAAAAGGTGTCTGCGTGTTCTCCTGAATATCAAATGAATCACATGGCCTTCAGTTCTGCATTGATATGTGAAAACATGAAATTTATGAACAAAATGAAACTAAAGAAGAAACACAACCATTCCTTTACTGAGTAAATACCTGCTCTCTTGTCTTTGACATCATTTCTTGCCTAGTTCTTTTTTTCTCATTATATTCTCTGAGGCATGATTCAACTCCTTAAAGTTCTTTGTCTTAGATTTTTTGGAGTTGGTTTTATTATCTGTATCTGAAGGTTCAGGCTTCCCAAGGTCTTCATCAAAAGATAGGGATAATAAAACCTGGTAATAACCACCTAAATTAGAGATGTAGCATTTGACAAGCTTTTCTTTTCAATGATGTAGTTCTTAACACATTTTTCTTTTTAATGGTGTCAAATTTGTCACATAAAACACACTAACCTCTATAGAATCAGGATGCAACTGGCAATCATGAGTTTTGACAAGGTTTGCAGTCATTTGAACAGCCTCCACGGTAACCTCGCCACCATGTTTCCCCTCATTTGTAAAAAGTGACTTAATAGTTCCACATCAAAGTTTTCTGTCAACAACCATGAGTATATACAATGAACAAGAAGATGTCAATGAAGGCCAACAGCCTAATACGAGTACTAAAATATTACAAAACCACCATAATGGAACTACATCTACATTGATGAACATGCATGACCAAGTTAAAAAGTTAAGTTGAATTAGGAATGAAGCAGTAAACAACTGTAGAAAATATTTGATAAATTTATTACGACTTTGTTTCCTTAAAATTAAGTTAAACAAGGATAAAACATAGAAACACTGTAATAACCCATGCCAAAAACAGGAAAACATGAATATTGTAGAATGCTCATTCACTAAAAAAAAAATTGACTAAAGAACTGTCTTTCTTAGACTTCTAGGGAAGCGTCATTGGTGCAGGTTTCATACTTCCAATTAAGTGATAAACAGAAGTATTTCGTTACTATTACAAGTTCTATGCTATGGGCATATTCAAGAATCAAATCTATCCTTAGAGTCTTGTCCCTTAATTCACCTTGAGGGATCAAATTAATATTTTAGAGCATTGCAGATAGCAAAAGAAGCTACACCTTTTTATCTGAAGTTCCATGATTAGGTCATTTAGACCACCTTTCTTCACCAAGTCATTGTGCACAAGAAGTGTTTCCTATAGAGGAAAACATTTACAAGGTCAGGATACCACACAACATGAGATGAGCATTGCAGATAGCAAAAGAAGCTACAAAAGCAAAACTGTTGCACCTATATCTCTAAAAAAATAACAGAGAATGGGAAGGCAAATGCAATGTTTCCGAACAGAACTGCCCGACATAGGGAAATTAAAGCTTATATACTATGTAGTAATAACTTGAACAGAACAGAACTGCCCATAGTTTCATTTCTTACCTAAAATTGACTGGACAGCATCGAGGTAAGAGCCATGCTTGTTGGTGATCCTCCCGTGTTGATCGGTGAGTTCATAGCAGTTGCAGAGAAGAAATGCACTGGTAAGGGTCACAAAAGCAAAACACAACATAGTTATTGGGCCAGCAATCCACCCTAGTTGAGCTATACTCCATGCTAATGGCAGAACTCCTGACCCTATCACTGCTGTTATAATATGTGCCAAGGCAGTCCACTCATTTCCTGATTTTTCATGGGGAGAAAAAGCCATATTATTTCCCAGAATTAAACTTCTCCTATTAGAGACATTGTTAGGGTAAGTACATCTACATTTTAGGTAGATGTAGATTAAGTAAAAGATTCACCCCATAAGCATAAATAAATACAACAAATATAAATTAATTATTTATGCAGTGTACTTACCCTAACAATGTCTCCAACCTGAAGCTTCTTCCAAGGAACACTCAACCATTTCTGATCTCCATAGATGTCTACAAAAGTATTATTAATTGATATGTCATTCTGAAAACGATTCTTTTCATAATTACGGAAGAAAAAAGAAGAGATGGAGTGTGAGCATTTTTCTTGAAGCATCAAAACTGTGTGAAATAATGAATTGGAAAGTCTGGAGAATGGCAAAGAAAAAATAGAGAATAACAAGACATGCAGGAAAGCCTACAGAGATACCAGTCTTGGTTCATGATTCTTTATTTTACAACATGTTTGAGTGAGACTGACACTTAAACTTTAAATAAGTTCTGCTGGACTCTTAGGTTTCTAACAAAAAATAAAATGCAGGCAGCAAGTACTTTCATAACCTAGTCCCATGCCTCTTTTATAAGAGAAACAAGAAGCACCAAAAGCAGAAACACAACCAGAAGATTCCCCTCTGTTCAAACTCAAAGTCTTAAAAACACAACTAGAAACACAGAACCCTCTTTCAATTTATCTATAGTTTCTAGAACTCTAGAAGCAGGTGATCTGAATCCACATGCCAAGAGAAGCTTTATTGAAGATTACCCCAGCATGGTAATCAAACCAAGCTACTCAGCAGATATAGGAGCCTTGCATCGGATGAAAAACAACGTCCACCACACCAACTATACTTAGAATATACCACCAGTCCTAATAGTTTAGAATCTACGAGTTCAACCAAAAATATCACATACATTTGAGATAGAAAGGAATGAACGAAACTCACTTGTGACGCCTTTACAGTTTCAATATCTCCCTATATAAAGCAGATAAAGTCAATAGATCTGACCTGAGTTTCGGTAGCCCTAACGAAACTCACTTCCGGGGATTGGCAAAATACCATCCTCTTGACCCGATTGCTCAGTAGCCCTAACACCCAATTGCTCAGTAGCCCTAACACCTGCGCCAATGTTAGGAGAAAGAGAAAGAAATGGCCTTAGCTTCAGTAGCCCTAACACCTGTGCCAATGTTAGGAGAAAGAGATAGAACTTACCTGGCTTTAGCCTACGATTGCTGCTGACGGAGAGAGCTTCAGCCTGAGCCTGAGGCGCCAATCTGTGGATAGGTGAAGTATTTTGGCCAAATTAAAGGCCAATTTTGACTAAAGCGGGCAATCCAAAACCATTACCGCCAAGTTCATATTTGGTATAAATTATAATCTTTTATCCAATTCTTTTTAATTTTGAGTTAAATTTAAATTTAATACATGAACACTTTTAGTATTAAAATATACTATTAATTAGAAGATAATAATTTATAAAATAATTTAGTTACGTTTATAAATTTTGTAGGAATATATATGTGTGTGTAATTTATACCAAATATAAACATTATGCAAATTACAAACTTTGACTAATTATAATAAAAATATAAATAATAATTAATTTGGCGCCAAAAAACAAATTAAAGTTTTGGTGGGAAATAATTTACAGACATCAATAGCGAGAGTAACAACATCTTTCGTACCAATAGCGAGAGTATACTTTTAAAATAAGTATAAAAGTAAAATTTCGTCACTAGATCATAAACCTTTAGCTAGAGTAATTTTTAACCCTCACAAAAACTATGCAAATAATACATTTAGTGAGGGGTTTTTCCACTCGTCACTAATTTTTTGTCACTAAAAAGTGTTTTTCTTGTAGTGATATACAGATAAATAGAATAAGGAATTTTGGGATTAGAGTTTAACATTTGAGTAGTACAACAAACCAGTAGCGAGCAAAGACAGAGAAGGTGACGAGTTGAGCATGGATGAGGCGGCAACGGCGGCGGACATTGGAGGCAGCGACGGCAGCGGACGTTGGAGGCGACGACGGCACGATTACGGCGATTGTAGTTTTGTTCGACTTCGACTTCGGGACGGACGGCGATAGAATTCACGAATGAATATTAAGTTTTTTGGCATAAGTGTTTTAATTTGTTTTGCAAGGAGGGAATTGAATTATTTTATTTGAGAGGGAGGGAGATTTTTTGCGAAGTGTGCAAGTCTTGAAAGTTAAAATTTAAAGAATAACATATATATCTAATATATATCTAAAGTCAAAATTATTTTGAGTTTTATTTTTTTTAAAAAAAAAATAACATATATATCTAATATAATAAGCAAAATGACAAAAGTTTTATTTTTATTTTATAATAAGTCTTTATTTTTTTCAAAATTAAATAAGTATATTCACGGTTTTATCGAAAACGGGTCCACCATAAACTGGGTATATAGGTACAGAACGGGGTAAGAAAATAGTCATTTTATTACCGGGGGTACTAGGCCCAAAATAGTACCAGGTATATAGGTACAAAACGAGAAGTAAGAAAATAGTAACTTTATTACCCGGGGTGCTAGGCCTAAAGTAGAACATATAAAGCCCAAAGTGCATGCCAAGGCTGTTGGGAGCGGGTCACAATAATATTAAGACCAAAAATGAATGTTTTGATAAAAGTAAAAAAAAAAAAAAAAAAAAAAAAAACTAAAAGTGAACTGTCACCTATAGGTACAGAACGCGAGATTCATAGATTTTTATACTGTTGATTCATAAATTTTATACTGTAGATTTATAAAATCTTTACTCTAGATTCATAATTTCTAAATCGTAGATTCATAATTTAAATACAGTAGATTCATAATTTGAACATAGAGTTCTGTAATTGTGAATATAGAGTTCAAACATACCGCCCTTAACCATTCCACACCATACCGCACCATTATGAACACCACACCGCACCGCACAGGGCCGTTCTATGACATGTAATTTAATGAATTGAAAATAAAACTTTAATGAATTGACATTGAAATTTTGGTGAATAATTTTATATTTAAATATGAACGAAAATATAACTATAAAATTAACTTTTGAATTGTATTATTTCTTTGTTAAATTTTTATGCATTATATTTGGACAAAAAAATTTTAATTACATTTTTATTTTTGTTCTAGATCTTCTAAACATCTATTTTCATCGCGTAACAAAAACAATGAAGGTCCAAATTATAGTTAAAAGATAAGGGGTAATACTTTGGTAAACAAGAGTTGGTGTAGCTTGGTGGGTTTAGTGTTGTTTGTTATGTTAGAAGTCATGGGTTCTATCTTTCTTGGTGGCATCCTTAACATATATTTTATACAATCATTGTCTTGGTTCTCATAGACAACAGTGTTAATCATTGTCTTGGTTCTCATAGACAACATAGAACCAAACTCGTTATATCTTAGATGTTGCACTTAAGTACATAAGTGTTGGTGTGGCTTGGTGGGTTTCATTTAGTTTGTTATGTTAGAAGTCTCAAGTTCTATAATTCCAAGAGGCATCCTTAACTTATTTTATAAAATCGTTGTCTTGGTTTTCACAGACAACACATAAGTAACCCAGTTATATACCAGATGTTGCACTTTGGTACAAAAGAGTTTGTATTGTTTAGTTGGTTAAACCTTAATTGTTATGTTTGAGGTTATAGGTTTGATTCTTGTTGTTAACATCCTTGTTTATATTTTATACAACTGTTGTCTTTTATAAAATAATGATACAACAACGGTTGTCGTTGTAGTGTTGTGTATTCAAGTGCTATTAAAGACAACACATAAATGACAACGGTTAAATAAAACCGTTGTCTTTTATAAAATAATAATGCGCAAAGACAACGGTTTTAAAAAATCGTTGTCTTTGTAGTGTTGTGTATTCTAGTGCGCTTAAAGACAACACATCAACGACAACGGTTAAATAAAACCGTTGTCTTTTTCAAAAAAAGAACGCACAAAGACAACGGTTTTAAAAAACCGTTGTCTTTCTAGTGTTGTGTATTCTAGTGCGCTTAAAGACAACACACCAACGACAACGGTTAAAAAAACCGTTGTCTTTAAAAAAAAAAAACGCACATAGACAACGGTTTTAAAAACCGTTGTCGTTGTGGTGTTGTCTTTTCACAAAATGCACAAAGACAACACACTTATAACAACGGTTAAGTAAAAACTGTTGTCTTTGACAAAAGTGTTGCATCAAAGACAACGGTTTTGGACCAAACTGTTGTCTTTTATACAAAAGACAACACTTTTCTTAAAAACTGTTGTCTTTCTAGTGTTGTCTATGTGCATTTTTCTTGTAGTGATATATATATATATATATATATATATATATATATATATATATATATTCAAAATAAAAAAGAATTTGCAAGGTAAGCGTAGTAACAAGAAAAACAAAGGAATGTTCTCATTTTTCCATCTCTTTACCATCCAAGGATACATACATATATACAATAAAAAGAGATTACTAATGGCATATATAATTAGACATAAATATGTCTATT